AGTGAGTCATTTTGCTGCTAAAATCCACCTTTGCTGCAGTTGGTGGGGGGGGGTGTAGCCTGAATTTAAAAATCTTTTTTTGAGAGAAGCCCACATTTTGAACGCCACACAACTTAAAGCTGCCTGCGGCTGTGTAATGTTGTATTTTGCTGCTTTGGTCTGTAGGATGTTTAATCATCGGTTGGCATTTTAAAATAAGCTGTCAACATCCAGCTTGAGGATCCAAATAAAACTCCAAGTTCGTTCCGTTTCTGACAATCTTACTGTTTATTGGATACTCTAGATCAGGGCTTTTCAACCTTTTCACCCATTGTACCACTTTTAGAATATGGCAATATCCGAGTACCACCAGTCGCCTAGCAAGGTGTCAAAAACTTGATGACCAAAAAAAAAAAAAAGGAAAAAAGTGATAAAGTACAGGTAGTCCTCAACTTACAACAGTTCGCTTAGTGACTTTTTGAAGTTACAATGGCACTAAAAAAAAGTGCCCCCCAAGCCACAGCCAAGCAAGACACCTGCCTGCCCACCCAGCGGTGCTCTTCCTCCTGTCCGAGGTTTTCATTGTTGTGAGCATTTCTGTTGAGTATTGGCAGCGGAGGTGGGGTGGGAGGGTGTTTGGTTTTTATGTCCCCCGTCTGCTGAGTGGTTGCAGCAGGTTTTAGTCACTTCACATGACCCTGGGACACTGTGACCGTCATAAATATGAATCAGTTGCCAAGCATCTGAATGTAAATCACAAGACCCTGGAAATGCTGCAACATTCCAGCTGATCGGCGCTTCTTCTGGGCTCAGCAGAAGCGCCAGGATCAGTGCTGCTTTCCAGCTGATTGGTGCTTCTTCAGGGCTCAGCAGAAGCGCCAGGATCAGCCCCGAGCTCCAGCTGGAGCCTGGCGCTGATCCTGGTGCTTCCACTGAGCCCTGACAGCCCCGAAGAAGCGCCGATCAGCTGGAAAGTGGCACTGATCCTGGTGCTTCCGCTGAGCCTTGACAGCCCTGCAGCTCCAGCCATCTCTCACTCAGGCTTGTGCGGTGCTGCCACCGGTTCAGCTCATTCCCCTCCCCCACTACCACTTTTCTAAGATGGTTGCGTACCACCTGCCAGGTGCCAATGTACCACAGGTGGTACCCGTACCACTGGTTGAAAAGCCCTGCTCTAGATGGTTAGGTCGAAGTAAAATTAACTCTGAGGTCCCCAAACCAATTCATAGACTTAAAACAATAATTTTCCCAGCTATATCAACAAGTTCACTTTGTTATGGGAACCGTCCGCTTCAAATCTACACCTGTCCTGGTGTCCTTGAAAAGGATTCAGGCTCTCGTGGTCTTCAGCTGAATTGTAGAAGTTTCGTTTCTCCATCTAACCCACTTGAAAGTAACAACCCCCCCTTAATCTAAACAGGCAAGTTGAAACGCAGAGACTAGTAGCTGCCAAAGTTTCATCCTTGACATCCTAACCGTTTCACACTTTCCGATTTTTGCAAAGGCGCGTCAGCGTGGTCACACGAGGTTAAAAAAGACAACCAGAGACTGGGAACAAAATATTAAACATTTTAAATATTAAAAGGATTAGTCGGCTTTGCCCGGTCCCATCGCAATTTAGGTGACAGGGTTGGCAATTTAACCTCTTTGCAAGTTTTAGCTGGTGGCGTTTCTCGTATACTCGGCGTGTCTCTTTCAGCGTGGTTTTTCTTTCTAGGATGGTGGTGGCGTTGTCCGTAACCCTTGGGCTGTTTGTGGTGGAGCTGGCCGGCTTCCTCTCCGGAGTGTCCATGTTCAACAATGTGCAAAGTCTGCTTTGTATCCTTCACAAAGAAAACGGGGATCACCAGATGGGGTGGGCTGGGGTGGGAAGAGAGAATTCCCTCCCTCCCTCCCTTCCTTCCTTCCTTCCTTTCCCTCCCCTCTCCTTCCCTTCCCTCTCCTTCCTTCTCCCTCACCCCTATTTCCTTCCTCCCTCCCTTCCTGCCTGCCTGCCGCTGAGCCCCAGACCCAGATGGGTTCGTGGCACTGTTGCCAAGCGCCAAAGCCAGGCGTGTCCCTCCAGAGCAGGGTGGGTGGGTCCGCCTTCCGTGGTCGTTGTGCTCCCTGACCGAGCCTCCTCCTCTTCGCAAGCCACCCTCGCTCACGCTTCGGCAGGCGTCACGTTGCTCTTCTTCCTGTTTGAGCAGTGGGATGGCAGCTTATACTGGTGGATCTTTGCCTTTTGCAGGTTGGCTGTGATCATCCCCGGAGTCGCAGGCTAGCAAAATGACGGGCTGCGGGAGGGGGCCCAAAGGAGCTGGACAATTTATTTATTTAACCATATATATTCCATCCTCCCCCCCCAAAAGAATAAAAGAGGGAGTGGCAGAAAATGACCACAGTGTTCATACAACAAGTTCCATTAAGTCAAATAATTGTGGCCCTGCACGTCATGGAGACACAACCTTTGGTTATCAGGATATCTGGACCAGGCCTTTAGGATATCCCAACTTTGACCTTTGCAGTGTGACTAATCTCTATTTTTGAAGACTTTTCCTTTGCCCCTATCCCTCCACCCCGTCCCCATCCCAAACGCACTCTACAATGTCCCAGGAGTCGTTTCGTGCGAGCGGCTGAGATTGGTGGACCTTCTTCCTAGGCAGGCATCCCTTTGTAAAATTCATTTTACACAAATCCCTCCGTTGATTTCCCTGACGGTGCCCTGTTAGCGTTGGTTGCCCACTGCAGCGCCTCCATCTGCCTCTCATTCTTCGTCTTTGAGCGTTGGGAGACGGTCACGTACTGGTACATCATGGGTTTTTGCAGGTAGAGGCCTGTCCCCGCGCGGTCGCCAATTTGCTGGCAGTGGTTTGGGGGTTCGCCCAATTCAGGAACAGGGACGCTCTTCTTCAGGGTACTGATCCTTCCCCTCTCTTTTCGCCCCCCTCTGCCCAGTGCCTTACCGGCTGCTGTCGAGATCTTCCTGTTCATCTCCGTCTTCGGACTCAAGAAGAAGCCACTGTGAAAAGGACAACGAGGGCGACGGCCTCTGTCCAGATGAGACCTCTCGTTCGAATTATCCCAGTGCAGAGGGAACTCCAAAAGAGCACGAGATGGAGATCAAATGTCCTTCCCGTAGGACTATCACCTGTCCCTGGTTTTCAACTCCATCTTTGCTCACTCCTCCACGGACAAAAAAGCAGCTGGGTCTTCAGCAGAGGTTGGATTCCTTCCGTGGAAACCTCTTAATATTGTATCCGTGATGGCATCCTATATTTCATCAAGAGTAGTATTTACTAACTGTGGCAGCTTTCAGATGGAAGCTTCTTGGATGAGAAGCGAAACGTCTTCAAATAAAAACAAGAACGTCCAGTTGCCTCTTGAAAAAGCACCTTTGGGACTTTAAGATGGATGGACTTCAATTCCCAGAATTCCCCAGATTACCTACTTATCTTCTCCCTTCCTTCCTTCCTTCCTCTATTACCCTTCCCTCCCTCTATTCTTTTCTTCCTTCCTTCCTTCCTCTATTGCCCTTCCCTCTCTCTATTCCTTCTTTCCTTCCTTCCTCTATTACCTCTATTCTTTTCTTCCTTCCTTCCTTCCTCTATTGCCCTTCCCTCCCTCTATTTCTTCCTTCCTTCCTTCCTATTTCCATTCCCTCCCTCTATTATTCTTCCTTCCTTCCTTCCTTCCTTCCTTCCTTCCTTCCTTCCTTCCTTCCTTCCTTCCTTCCTTCCTTCCTTCCTCCTTCCTCTATTACCCTTCCCTCCCTCTATTCTTTTCTTCCTTCCTTCCTTCCTCTATTGCCCTTCCCTCCCTCTATTCCTTCCTTCCTTCCTCCTATCTATCTAACAACCTTCCACAAATTGGCTGGGGAATTCTGGGAAAAGTCCACAAGTGTTCTAATTACCAAGGTCGGACACCCCTGTTTTAAAACTGAAACCTGAATCGGTTCAGAAAGTGTTACCCGTGTTTCCTATAAACCTCTCGTTTGCCATATCACAACTTAATCTGGGGTGGAGCTGATCTTCTCTCCTTTCAAAATGACACGAACAGCCGCCTGAAGTGGTGCGAAAGCTCAGCGCTCGGATTAAAAAGTGGACGGAGAGGCCAAAAAATAAAACAGCCACTGGTAAACTCGATTCCGTTGTCCCCTGTTTGCATCCAAAACGATTTCACACAAAGTCTTTTTTTTTTTTTTTTTTTACACATAACAGTCATTTGGCATTTTACTCCTCTTGATGCGGTGTTCCTTGACTTACTTAGAATCTCCATTGCTAAGCGAGGCAGTTAAGGGAATTGCATCTGATTTTATAATGTTTTTCGTCACTTGTTAAAGAGATCACAATCATTAAATTAATCATGGGGTCGTTAAATGAATCCCACTCCCCCCCCAGACTTTGCTAGTTGGAAGCTGGCCAGGAAGATGACTCTGGGATGGTGCAATGGTTGTAAATATACAACCTGGTTGCCAAGCATGCAAATTTTGATCCCATTCCTGGGGATTGATTAATACATTATCCTGTGGGGCTTGATATCTGTTTATTCCTCTTCAAGTGGGATTTTTATCTCTCCCAGTTGTTGTTTGGCTGTCCCAGTAGCTCCCAGTCATCCCTGCTTGGCCTTCTCTTTTTCCAATTTTCCACATCAGCCATTTTTGCAAGATAAAGATTGCAGCAAAATCAAAACCCAGGGCTCCCAAAGAGGGCTTTTTTTTAAAAAACTTGGGACTGACGTCATGCTTATGCAGATTAGGTTGCGCATGGGTCGCTGGGAAATTGGTCGGCGCCGCCACTCGGAGAGGTTGGGATGCTACAGGAAAAGAAAAGCGGTGGAGCAACAGGGAAGGGTCTCCCCACTAGGATGGCGGGGTCGCGGGGGAAAAAAAATATGCCCGCGGGGTCACCATAACCAAGGCGGTTGTCCCGCAGAGAGTAGCCGCCACCGCGCAATTGCGCGAGCATCGTCAGTGAGGTATATCCTTACCTGTTCCTCCTCCGGGAGAACAGAAAATGATGAATGGAGAGGCATGAGAGATG